TGCATAGACCGAGAAACGAAATATTTGGATATTTACTTGTGGAGTAAAAGTTCATCTCGCAGAAATAACTGTGACACTCAGAATCCTACCTGAAACATTTTCTGAGTGTAAGTGAGAAATCACTCGCTCGGATAACTCCACCTTTCGAGTGAAATTTTCCTGTAAGATACTTAGGGAGCAATTCTAATTCCGCCCGTCCGATCTTGAGAATCCGTACAGATTAGAATCGACATTTCGTGATCCGCTCGTTCGTTCGTTCGTTCATTCCTCTATTTGGGTGCTATCCCGATGTGTATGGCGTTACAGGCTCACGGTCTAAATCTAGCCATTGAACTCGCGCGCGCGCACCTCCGCTCTACCTCCGTGATGCCGGATAATACCTACACACGCGCGCGAGCTCACGCGTATATCGCTCTTCGATTTCAGCCGTAGCCAAAACGATTATAATAACTATTTTATCCGGCGTGGATCTGGGCCATTGTGCCTCTCCATTCTGAAAGTCATAACACGATGCCTACACTGCCCTTCGGGAACTGCCGCGATGGTTCCCCTTTGGCTGTGCTATACCACGGTATAACCTGGTGCACCATGAATTTCAAGTTTCGCGTTGGTATGTGTGTCCGAGGATGTGAACGCGGTGGCCGACACAGTCCGACCTTTCTGTAGCCACAGATTTCGCTCGTGCGTGTACGCGTTGTATCTCGGGACACACGAATTCGTATCGCGAGAGCGTGTGCGACCACGTGTAGACGCGGAGCTCACACGTGTGCGTGGCGACATACGACGCGCACGCACAGAGAGCCTCGCATTGTCGTCTATAGGCTGTTTCAGAAGCCCGCATCGTAACTTGGAATTGACTTTCAGACGGACAGACAGACGGACAGACAGACGAGCCCGAGCTTGGCATCATTTGCCGCAACTCTTCACCTTGAATACTAAATACCGCAATGATCGAATCTTCAATTCAAGTTCCATGCAAAACTCACTGAGATTTCAGCAAGAAGTCAGACTGTACCATTCAGTTGCAATACCGAAATGTCGTTCGACAAAAGCCTCTCGCTTCTAAGTCAAGCAATTCTGTCGACGCCTCGATGTGTCAATTAACGACCTCAAGCCGATCGAGAGGCCCGCCGTCGAAATTAAAATGGAGTTCCTGTGGGACACCCTGTATTCACGCAAACACTACGCGACCACCACAAGCTCGCGGTGACTGGCGCGCACGTATACACGCACGGTGTCGGTCTGTGTGCGTGTCGTAGCGGTTGCACACATCGACCACCGGCAATATTTCACGGCATATTGTTGCCATCTGCACACGCAACCCCGCGCGCACGACAGAATGCACGACGTAGGAGAGACGCGCGCTTTTATTTATCTGCTATTTATTTGCCAACGCGCGCGCTACCGAAGCGGACTCACGACCCTGCCGGGGACAGATTTGAAAAGTTATTAATCGTCCTGTTTTGGAAAGGAGTGTCACGGCCCCCCTTGGCAGCCGAGGAGCTCCTTTTATGCGAGTTGGCTAACCAGACGACGACGGCGGCGGCGCATTGGCTGCTAGCGAGCGTACGTGCCCCTTTCGATCGGCTCGAGAGGACCCCTCGAGAAGGTGTGAATCGATGGGTGGAGGATCGCATACAAAAAGTCAAAACCGAGTCAACTCTTTTGCGAAATAGGGGGATAGATTGAGACGTGGTGGATGCCCGCGACGATCGTCGTCGCTGCACGAAATCGCCCGCACATTTCTTGCAAATACGTGCAAAAAATGGCCGTAGTGAAAATTATCCAGATGCGAGGAATCAGCTGAGACGCACAAATGACTAGCAAGCACTGCGATATCGTATATGTTTTTGCGTTTCGTCGATACAGATGTCGAGACGGAATTTTTGTCTCAACTATTTGTTAAATTTAACAAGAGACTCTTTGCAGCGCCCGCCCAGATTAAAGTCAGTGTCACACTTCTTATAAAAATTAACTGTGGAAACATTTTGTTGGGCGAATCGATGCGACTAGGGCCATTTGTACGCATTTGTATGCATGAAAGTAATAATTAATGGAAAAAAATGGATGCATAATTATTCACATCGTCGCGAATATCTCGTGTGCCATAAAGCTCGATATTTCGGGGCTCGTTTTGTTGCGTATACACCATACGTCCGCGCTTTGCAATCGAGATAAGGTAAATGTCCGTAAAATTCAACAATTGAGATCTTTCCACTGGCGGATAAAGAAAGTGAAACAGAGCCGCGCCGCCGAGTGAGAGAGATAAGAGGTGACGTCGTGCGTGAACCGCTATCTCCGCGGCTTCATAAATATTTAAGACGCCCGCTTATGACGCCCATACCACGGATGCCCGTCGGCAACGTGTCCGAACGATTTGAATATAATCTGTATCGCGACGATACGTCACTCCCGCCGGCGTAATCTTATCGCGTTTTTCACACGTGAGATGAATAACGACGTAGCCGCGTAACTTAATGGGCCCTCCCGCGGAAACAGAAGGCGAGTCGCGGAATAACGAAGATCAGATGCGCTCGTGTTCGCGCTTTTCGGCCTCGTCTTCGTCGCGAAGTAAATGGCTCGTTTAGGAACTCTTTGTCGACAAGTCTCAATCTATTCCCCCAGTAATTTCTTCCACGGTAATTCCGCCTACTCCTTCGTCAGCCTTTACTGTACACTGAGAAGAGTTCAGCATTTACAACTATGATTGTTCCGTGAGATAATTATAACCAAGAAAACCGCTTTTGTAAGTGCCGCGATATTAACCTTGGCTGCACATATTGGCTATTGCCTTTTCAGAGAAATAAAAGTGCGATTGAAGTGCTGAAAATGATTACAATCTCAATGAGATTAACCATTCTTTCTTCTCAGTGTGCGTTGAATTTTCCGTTAGATTGTGGAACGATAAAAATTTGTCTAGTTCTTTAACACAACGCGATTTCTCATCACAAAAATTTCCACGGAAGAGGATCTATGCGAACTTTACTCGCTTCAAGTCACACGCGACACGATATTCCCGAGATGTATATGCATATAAAATATATATTTTCCCGTTCCTCCCTCAGAGCGCTCATCTCGAGTTTATATGTCTCAACGACACGTATTCCCAATTCCAGCCGCGATTCTCGCCCCTCGTCCGAGGGCGAGAACGCAGTCGGTCGCCATATTCCCCATAAAAAATCCGCCAAGTTCGCGCTTCCTGTTCGCGCGTCTCCGCTCTTCTCGAGAGCGCCAGGAGGAAGCCCCGGAAAAAGGGAGTAGAATGCGGGGGTGCGGACCGACGCGTGGTAAAATATATTCCAGTCAACTTCCGCTGGAAATAAATAAGAGTCACGCCACACGGTCTCGCTGCGCCCCCCGACAACGGGACGGCCATTCGTGTGCAGGAGACCTTATCTTTCGATATCTCTCTTTTCCTACGGCACCCTAAGTCAGAAGGAGCCATCGAGAGGAGTTCCGCCGCTGCTCATCAAGATATACCGGGAATCGAGACGAGACTCTCCGCAATACGGACGGTTACGCTTGCTTAATCACTTTTTAATTGCTAACATCTATGTAGAGTGCAAAGTAAAAGTACCCTAATGTCTGAAAACAAACGTACAAATCCTGGCTGTTCTTACTGTTTTGGTCTTTTAACACCAATTTTTGGATTTTCAATATAGAATATACAAAATAAGCCAATAACTTTTGCCATCTGAAATATTTTAGAAACAAAAAACTTGCAATCTCCAGATTTTCAAAGTTATTCTACTTACAAGTCTATCCAAAAGTTACACTCCGATTTCTTTCTAATTTGGCACAAATGTAGGAGTATAAAAAATATTTAGAATATATTTTTTTTCATTTTGTGTTTTCCCATTTTTCCACTTTGAGTTTCACGAACAGTTTATAGTGCAACAACAAGTGCAACAAAAATGCATAAGAAATAAAATTGAATACAAGATATAGGCGTTTTTGGTTTACTGATTATGAATGTGAAGTCAAATAGATAAAATTATTTTAATAAATAATAAAATATTTAAACAAAAGAGATAAATGTTTAAACAGATTTGAAATATTTCGATTGAAATCTCGGTTAAAGAAATTTAGAATGGCTCGTGTCTCAGTTATGCCGATTTTATTAAAATTTTAATTAAAATTGCCAGATTTTTCGGTTTAGCCGAGATTCGAACCAATTTTTATTAATTTAGCACATATTTAAAATATTTTCGTTGGAATTTCGGCTAAAGAAATTTAGAATAGTTCGTGTCTCAGCTATGCTGATTTTGTTAAAATTATTTAACTATATTTTGTATATTTTGTATATTTTGTATATTTGTATATTTTGTATATTTTGTATTCAATTTTATTTCTTATGAATTTTCGTTGTATTTGATGATGATAAGAGTGAGAACATTAAAAACCTATAAACTGCTCGTGAGACTCAAAGTGGGCCAAAATGAAAAAATATGACCTAAATATTTTTTGTACTTCTACATTTGTGCCAAAATAGAAAGAACTCGTGTACGTTTTGGGTAGGTCTTGTTAGAAAGAAAGTATTATCACTATAAGACTTTATCTTCTAAGACCAACTTTGAAGATCTGCAGACCTATTTTGTTTTTGCCTCAAAGATATTCCAAATGATAATAGTTACTGAACTTTCTCACACTCTGTATATTTTCTATATTGAAAATTTAAATATTCTTATTTAAAGATCTAAACCTTTATTTTTTTAATTAAGTCGCCTCGCATTTCCTATGTCCTTGTATTGTAGCAAACGCGATAGTTATTTTACAGCACACTTTTTTCTGAAGTAATATTCAGGCAGAAGATGGAGAGAGAATGAAGGATTATAAATTACGTTCCGACATATTCGTAAACGGGACTGCATTATTTCTATCGTCTTCGGAACATCTTCATCGACATTTTTATTCGAATTTGCCTATCTCTTTTATTATTTATTAACAGTTGCACGTCTAATTGGAATGCTATTAACCCGGTTGTTTTTCTTCTGTTCTAGGCGAGAAACCCTTCAAATGCGAGTACAATGGCTGCGACAGGCGATTCGCCAACAGCAGCGATCGTAAGAAGCACAGCCACGTTCACACGTCGGACAAGCCTTACAATTGTCGAGTAAACGGCTGTGACAAGTCCTACACTCATCCCAGCTCACTGCGCAAGCACATGAAGGTGCGTCCCCTGTTCCAGTTAATCATGAACGTAGTTCGATGAGCAAACGAGCGCGCGCACTACTAGCGATTCGATTCCGTCGTTCACGTCCGAGCCACTTATGTCGCAAGTGGCGTAAGTTTAAAAGTTCCATCTGCGAGACGCGCAACTTTCACCACGCACGCAAATTTCTTTACGCTCGTGTTAAAAATCAATTTTTCGCTACTATTTGCTATAAGATTTCGGGAAGACTTCTGAAAACGAGGCATGTAAAATCAAATCCTGTTATTTCGGCCTTTTCATCGCGATGACTAATTATTCTCAATGTGCGAATTATGAAAATTGCAGGACATAAATTTGCTGCATGACCATTCGAAGAGCAGCGTCACGCGGACTGAGACTCAAAATGCGCATAGCTTCATCTAGTGAACTCTATTTGAAGATTGTCTATCTCGTTTGATTTAATTTTTTAATTCCGCGAATTGTGGCTCGAGATAAAATTTGTATAAATTTATAAATTTGAATCATGATTCCTTAAACATTAACCGACCGCGAAAATCTTGACCAAATTATACTTGTACCAGCTTCAGTTTTGTTCCATTTTTGTGTACGTTCAAGCAATTGAAGAAACCGTTGAAAAAAGAAGACAGAAAAAAGAACGAAAGTGATTCCCAAAACAATAATGTGATTTTTTCGCGCGAACGACCACAGAATCTAAATAAGAAATTATCTTGACGCGCGGAAAGACAGAAGGAGAGAGAATCGTCCAAAACCCGACTTCCGAGATACATATGTGATAGGCTAGATTAGGTCAGCTTTACAGGGATGCTTTTTTGTATCTCTCTCTCTCTCTTTCTTTCTCTCTCTTATTTTCTCTCTGCGATTTTTCGCAGACGTAGTTCGCGGAAGGCAGTCGTCGAGATTTGCTCACTGAATTATGAAGGAGAAACCAAAGAGATGGAAAGGGATCCTTGATTCTCGTTACTCTCGGCCAAGCTTTCGCGGTAAAAGCATGAAGCTGATCTCTCTGTCTCTTTTTTTTTTGATCTACTCGATCTCGACTCGGTAATCTCACGGAAAGAGGATTGCAAGAAAAATGCTTGTCGCGAATAAATCGTAGGTACACGTAATATAACCAAGTTCATATCACGTCCAAGTTCCAAGTTCATATCCAAGTGTCTCTTGCGATAATTTGCGAAACGAGCAAGCGTTGACGAAGGGACAACCCTTAACGGTCGTGGCATATTTTGCCGTGACCGCACAGAGAAAATGATTTGATTGAATCAAATAAACACTTCTATGGAATAGTTCAAACGAATTTTTTTATTGATCGAACAAAATTTTGTTTGACGCAACAGAAATATTTATTTGCGGCTCAGTTCCAAAGAAATGTTTTTGTTGTGTCAACCAAATAATTTGTTTGGACTATTCCAAAGAAACATTTATTTGACTCAACAAATCGTTCTCCGGTGCGCGGCCTGGAAAGCAGGCTTACAAAAGGGTTAATCGACATTTTCGCTATTTAATGATAGAGAAAAAAGGCTAATATGAGTTCAAGCACAGTAGTTATAGTGCTATAGTATCGAAATTGGTAAAACCTTCCTTATGTTAGGATATAAAGTAATTTATTTGACAAAGAATATATAAATGATCAAACGTTTCGGCTCATGCATGAACCCTCTTCAGTGATATATACATAAAAATCTCAAGGATTGAACAGAACCACGAAATTCTTCGTGGTTCCACGCTTTTGTCGACCGTAATATTAAAATAACATCGTTTTTCCTGTTCACCAAGTCTGAGTACTATCGACTGAATTTCGTGGTTTTGTACAATCCTTGAGATTTTTATGTGTATATCACTGAGGAGGGTTCATGGATGAACCGAAACGTTTGATCATTTATTTATTCTTTGTCAAATAAATTTGACTTTATATCCTAACATAAGGAAGGTTTTAGTACTAATTTCGATACTACAGCACTATAACTATTGTGCTTGAACTCATATTAGCCTTTTTTTCCTATCATTAAATTTATATTTATTTGTGTGTTCTTTTTTATCTAATAATTTTCGCTATTCTTTCTCCAGATACACGGCGTATCGATGAACGAGGGCAAAGTTGGCGGTGGATACGATAGCGACGGCGACGAGAGCACTAGCAGCGGTGGTAGCGTGTCCGTGACCGGCCATACGGAATCGCCTCAACCACCACCGGTTGTCCCGGTAGCGCCGACGACGACGACGCCGACCAACGTACCACCCACGAGTCACCTTTCCGCCCGTAGCGCGGAATTGGGCAACTGGTATGTCTGTCAACCGCCGACGACGGCGTCTCAACACAGTCCTCTACCTGGACCGCCGCCACCACACCACCTCAGCCATTTTACGCAAATCTTACATCATCAAGCGACCGCCTATTAATCGGGCTGCATGATTTGGCTCCCGGGTTGGTGCCGCGTTCTTCGCATAAGATTTCTTATTAATCGGACTATTGCAGGTAGAGGACAAGTCCGAGTTTTACAAGAGTCTCTTCCCGTGTCGGGCAACGTGAAACGAATCGCTTCCGTGAAATGGAATATGATTTGGCAAACGGGAATTTGGATGACGATCGATTAATTCATCAAAATTCTCTTTTCGGAGAGATGTTTCAAAAGTACGACCGTGTATAACGCGCCTGTAATGAAACTCGCGCTCGGGGAGAAAGAGAGAGAAAGAGAGGAGAAGAAGAAAAGTATTAAAAACGGTATGTTTCACAATATTCAAGGTAATGAGGTGTTTCCTTATGTTACAGATGTATAAAAAATATATGTTGAATGAACGTTTAGTCGTGAAATTATTTATCAATCGGTTTATCGCACCCATGTAGCGAAATTATTTCAAAACGGTAGGAAACAGAGTTTTACGTATCTGATTAAGAGCGAAGAAAAGAATAAAAATTGCAGTTGATCGAGAAGAATACAAAAAAAGGCATATCTCAGAACTGTCGCGTGTTCAATAGCGCAGTGCGGAGCTTAATTAGAGTGGAAAATATATGCGCGCATTGACATCAGCGAAAAATATTATAGAAATCCACCACCATACATTTTTCCAATAATCACTCACCGAACTGTCCGGAACTCAGGGCCGGTCACGTTGCACCGCGAGCAAGATCTGAAGCAGAAAGCAAAACAATAATCTTAGTTAATTCTTCGTGCATCCGCTGGGATTACACCGCGCGCCATGTGGTGAGAGATTCGATAAATCCTAAACGGGAAAAAAGATTTCTTTCCCTTGAGAAAGTCACTTGAAATATTAACAGTTAAGAAAAGCAGCGTGTAGGGAGCGAACCTACCTTCAAACCGACCCTGCTCGGCCCGAACCGGATCCTCCGGTGCCGCCACTTCGTCCACCCGGAGCTTCATTGCCGCGAGCTGCGTGAGACCGCGAGCAATGTGCCGAAAATCTGGAACAGTAAACAATTTTCTCGGTTAAAAATTTAAGGACAGAGACGTTATTCGCGATAACGAAAGTTTCTACGAATATTTCCTTACATTTCCACTAATCTATATATTTTTTCATTGAGGAGAAATTGCTCTCAAATGAAGAAATATGTATATATATTATATTAAGAAATATGTAAATATATATATATATATATATATATATATATATATATATATATATATATATTTCTTAAAATCGTTGCTTTTCGCGAAAGCACTTATTTATCGTATTTAAGAAGACTTAAATAGATATATCAGTATCTACGCCGCGAATGAATATTTTCTTTTCCTTTTCCTTTTTAGGTACTTTTCTCGCAGAGTATCCTCTCTAAAGTTTCAGAATACTGCCATTACTCTCGGTACTTCCAGCACAATGATCGCGCGCGCGCACGCGTAAAATACTCTGAAGCAACATTTGTCACGCACTCTATCTCCACGACTAATTGAAGGTAATAATTAATGAGAAAACGACACGCGACGCGCAGACCGACTCGTCCGACACTCAGTCGAAGGACTGTTATGATCGCTATTGTGCGTCGCGTACGTCAACAAAAACGAACAACACGCGTAGGTCTTTTACTTTTGCTTTCTCTTTCTATACAGGATATCCAAAAACTGCAACTGCGACACTTTGATATATCGCTCTCTCTTCAACTGCGTTTCCAGCTCTTGTCCAGCTCAGAACATAACCTAGAAATTTATCGCAATAATTTCTCATCGATTGCTCCTTGTGATCTGCACGAAGTACGTGTGTATTGGATAGGATAAATAATAAACTATAAAATAACACGTTGGAATAAATTGAATTAGCCATTGTACTATTCTGAAACCTAAAAGACTGAGAATTTTAAACGTACACCCTCGCTCTATATACCATCACAAAATTATGATTATTTTTAAGAACGGGTTACATCTTCTTTCTGAGAAATGTAACTGAACGACCTGAAGAGATTACTTTTGTGTTGTATAGAGGGTATAACTGAAACAGGTAATCGAAGATTAGGGGTGCATTCTAGTCATCTTGAGAATGAGAAAATCTTTCTTGACGATTCTTTTACCGATATTTTAACTGTTTTTTTTTTTATTCAAAAGTGAGGTCTTCCCGTCTTTCAAACGAGTAGAATGCGTTTCTAAGGTTTGATCACGTAGATTTCAGTTGTGCCTTGTATAAATATGTAAAAGATTTTTTAGATTTTAATAAATTATATGCTCTCTGTTGTGTTACTCCGAGATTTTACATTTAACATTATATTATTTATGACGTTTGAACGCGTCCTCTCCAGCAACAGCAATATGCCCGATATATACATTCTTTATGTATGCTTATTTCCTGCAAATAAATTCCGTTTCAGGAATACGCGATTTCAATGAAAACTTTTAATGTAACTTTCCCAATCTCACGTACGACATACGCACGCACTTAACGCTGAAATCACTCGTGGTTTTCGGATTACGATACTACTGAATGTTACACAACCTTTTCAAATCAATGGATATCGTATCACATTCGAAATGTGATAAGCCGGCGCGACTAATTTGGTCATTTCTTTCGTGTCACGAGAGATATCTTTCTCAAAAGAAGTGGCGAGAGTTCACCGCTTTATATGACACATACACAACATTCTATCACGCAATCTAATCCACATCCCAGGATTAATTGATTAAATCTATCGACCCCAGAAAGAGACAACGCAACCAGCGCATTCGATCACACGATCGAAACGTGACACACGATAATGTAAATGGAATGCAGATTTGCGAAAATATACAAGTCACGCTCGTGCCTCAATTTATTAATCAGCAACTGTTAATGCGAATCATAATCCCGTCTCTTCGTTTGTAAATCAGCAATTTCCCACAAGCGTTCAACGTACACCTACTACTAGAGTCCAATGGTAGAGCACCATCTGTAGTATTAGCGGGACGAAAGTCTCTCTGCGGAAAATTAAATTACGTATACGTAAACGTGTAAACGTAAAGTGAGAAGAGTCCTTTGTCCGTGAATTTATTTTGGTGAATACGAGAGATACACGTATTTTGAGAGGGGAGACTCGATGAAATTGTACATACAGTCAAAACGTAGCCGGAGCGCGGAGATTACGACATACGTAGGTGTTCCATGTAAGATATTAACAATTTTTGTTATGTGTGATATCTTGTAAATACAGAAGTCTAGAGATCGGTACGTATAAATAGCGCTAAATAAGGGAGCGTATGTAACATTCTTGTAATAATTATTATTTTTATTGTGTATACGCTTACGATAGAAACGAAGGAAGAGAAAAATAGAGAGATTTCTCTCGTCACGAACACGATTGTATGATATTGTATCTGTTTCGCAAAAAAAAAAACCAGAAATATATTGACAAGATGGTATATTCGAATTGCGGCCTCTTATTCGTTTTCGCCACGACAGTCCTACGTCGTCCTGCCTCTGTATATGTGATTTTGGTTTTTACAGTTCATCTCACACGCATACACGTCATCTCACATGCAGGCACGAGTAATCCGTGACAGACGGAGGGCTCGTGTCTGGGCTCCGAGATTCCTAGATGAGATTACAGGGATCGTTTTTTCAGTGGATTATAAATATCGTATAATTGGCATAAGATTCTTATTAAACTGGGCCCGATGCGCTCGGACGCAAGGGAGCGTCCTGTGCGGCGTATTGAACGGGTAAGGAAAAAAGCGAGCAAGAGCAATATATGTATATGTATGTATGTATGTACATATATATATATATATATATATGTAAGAATGGCTCGGTTGGCATGGCGCCACGATGTGTCTAGGCACCTACGCGAGAAGAAGAGAGAAGAGAAAAGGTGGAGGAGATAGCATCGGCATCGGGAGGACGACCGTGGCGTTTTATTGCTCGATAAGCAGATGAATTCGTCAGATAATTTCCAGGCCTGATGCAGATGATTTTATTAGCCGAACCGTACGAGACCCCGGAATTCTTCGAGGCGGAGGATTGAGATGACACGGGCTCCGGAGAAGATCACCGGAGATAGGAGAGACGATACGGGAGGAAGAGAGAGAGAGAGAGAGAGAGGGGGGAGGGAGAGACCGAGAGAGGGAGGTTAGGCCAGGTGTCGTTGCGTGAATTTGTATGATCGATGATTTTCGGATATGCTGATCCGGCGCGATGCGCGTTAGATATGGGAACGTTTTATTCCGATCGCGGGGGACGTACGTATCGTATGCCTGAGCCCTCTGTTCGATCGATCGGAGAACTCATAGACAGATAAAAATACGTTATCAAAGCGGACGACGGGACAAAGGAGAGACGGCGGCGGAGGGCGGGAGAGAGGCCGCGGATGCGAAAATATAATTCCGTCGCCAGGTACGTGCTTTTGTCTTGTCGCCCGGCCTGCGCTTTCGTTTTTCTTCCCCTCCTCATAAAGGCGAGATTCGTATTAAAAGGCACGGCACATAATTAATGTCCGACGGTCACGAAAGACGCGAGCTGTTGCCGGCACCGTGTGTATACGCGCACACACATACATGTGTGCACACATTATACATATCCCGACTTTATGAAGAAACGCGCATTCCTCGCGTATGAGCGCCCACGTAAGCGCGTCGCGTGCCGCGCGACTCGCGCACGTGCGTATCGTGGTGTGCGAGCCGCGCGGAAAGCGGCTTCGATTGAATTTGTCGACTAATTATTTGTCAATTAACCGAATAATTAAAGAGCGAGCCTCATGTTCTCCAAATTCTACGAAGCGAAATTTCGCTCGAAGAAACTCTGATAAAATGTCCACGTATCCAGAATGACGATTCAAGAGAAATTTCTTTTGAAATTAGGGGGTCAGATTGCCTGAAAATCGTGCTTGTTCTTTCACAATTTTTTATGACAAACTGAGTGCATATGCGAAAGTGTTACCTTGACGTGTATTTATACAACATATAAAGAGAAGAAAAATATTATTTTGATGATCAAATACTCGATATAAGTGTATGGTACTTGCAGTTAAAATATATTTTGTTTTTCTTTTCAAGGTCGTCATTTTGCAGTAACATCTTGACTCTCGGTGGTACAATTAAGGTGGTTTTATCAAGAATTTTGGACGGAATATTTCCGTAAGCTTATCGTTATCGTGTGAACCACTATAATAGAAATTAAGTAAAAGTTAATAAAATTGCAAATATCTTAATGGGATATTATTAAATTTTCAATTCTTTTATAATAAAAAAATTAATATTTAAAAATTAAATATTTTCACAAGTTTATACGATAACGACAAGCTTACCTAAAATTCAGCTTAATTGAACCACCGAGAGTCAAAATATTACTGCAAAATGACGACCTTGAAAAGAAAAACAAAATATATTTTAACTACACGTACCATACACTTATATTGAGTATTTGATCATCAAAATTATATTTTTCTTTTCTCTATATGTTGTATAAATACATGTCAAAATACATTTCGCATATTTCATTTTCGCATATTTATTCAGTTTGTCATAAAAAATTGTGAAACAAGCACGATTTTCAAGCAATCTGACCCTCCAGTCCCCTTAATATGTGATTTCACGATAAAACCACTGTACTCCAAAAGATTAAGTTAATATAAAATATTTTTCAAATAAGAAAACATATATTAAACTTTAGCTTTTCATGAAAGCAACTGTCTATTTTATTTAAATAAAAGAGTTTAAATTTAAATATTTTAGTACCCATCAAATACATATTCTTTATCTTCCGGATATTTTTCCCGTCAGAGTCAAAATCTACTCTAAGCTTGAGAGTTAAAATTTATTTTCGTCATCGTGTTCCGAGTGAAAATGCTGCCACTTTTCGCTCGTTCTAAATGAGATTCAACTCCAGGGTATTCAGAGAACACGCCCGTTTTCTTCGCGGCGACGAGTGTCTCGCGAGCATCTCGAGTCGGCGAGATCTGCGAGAGAACGGACGAATTTTTGTCGTGCTTTCGCGATAGATATATCGCTACGTGAGAGACGGTGAGTTACGTCGAGAATATACAACGCCGTTCTCGCCGCCGGAGGCGTGAAAATCGATTACTGGAGGAAGAATCGCGGCATCGAGTCGCAGCTCGTGGACACTGCTCGCCGGCGCACTTCCGCAGGAGAAGCGGCGTAAAACGATGTAAGAGGATTAAAAGGCTCAGCCGATTGGCTCCCATTACCGGTCCTGTCCAGGGTTGTAAATCCTCCATAAAACCATTGATAAATCACGCGCAACAAGCGCGCGTGCGCGGAAAGCAACGACGAGGGCTTTTGAAAAACCCGAGGTAGGAACGCGCGCGACAACACCGGTAAATCGAGATCGGACTCTCGCTCGTTACCGATCGAGCGATCGCCGGGAACTCCTAACGACGATCAATCGATGAGTTATAGGAGTTCCGGATGATTCCGCGCTGAAAGAATTTATGCGGCACGCTTCCCAGTGCCGATCGGCTGTTACCGGTTGCTCAATGGCCCCATCGGACTGCTAGTTCCGCGCGACGCCATTGAATAAATCACACGCGATTTATTACAGAGCGTTTTGCCCATCAGGGAAACCCCCAATATCACGCGCGCGCTCGCGATTTGCAATTGCGAATTGCAATCCACGAATCGCCCGTAAACTTTGACACGGCCGTGATCAAAATGTCGCGAAACGCGTCGGTTCCGTCGCAGATGCATGGCGATTTCTGTTCCGATTCTAAACAGAGAATCCGCGTTTGGAACAAGAATGGGACTCCCAATTGCTATCGCAGAGGGATAATCTATTTTCGGAACAAAATTGGGCGTTCTGATTGAAATCTAACCTGCACTTGGGAAGATGCTAAGAGATTTCTATGTGGAGACTTTCAGCCTCCCCGGATAATAGAAATGTGGAGATTTTCACGTGGAACTTTTCACTTTTCACGAGTTCACGCTAGAGGATAAGATACATGATCGATACTTTGGCGCGAAGAGATATCGATACCGTCGTAGCCCACGCGCGGTCGCTGTCAAAGGCGAGTTTCTGTCGAACGAGGGCTGCTTGGCTCCGTGGAAGTGTGAAGATTTTCACGTGAAACTTTTCACTTTTCACGAGTTCACGCTAGGGGATGAGATACATGATCGGTACTTTGGCGCGAAGAGATATCGATACCGTCGTAGCCCGCGCGCGATCGCTGTCAAAGGCGAGTTTCTGTCGAACGAGGGCTGCTTGGCTCCGTGAAAGTGTGGAGATTTTCACGTGAAACTTTTCACGAGTTCACGCTAGGGGATAAGATACATGATCGATACTTTGGCGCGAAGAGATATCGATACCGTCGTAGCCCGCGCGCGATCGCTGTCAAAGGCGAGTTTCTGTCGAACGAGGGCTGCTTGGCTCCGTGAAAGTGTGGAGATTTTCACGTGAAACTTTTCACGAGTTCACGCTAGGGGATAAGATACATGATCGATACTTTGGCGCGAAGAGATATCGATACCGTCGTAACCCGCGCGTGATCGCTGTCAAAGGGGGGTTTCTGTCGAGCGGGGGCTGCTTGGCTCCGTGGAAGTGTGTCGTGCGTTCCGGAGCCGGATCGGTCGTCCCGCGCACCTCCGTTCGATGAATAATGCCCGGTCGCGCCGGTACCCGTGCGGGCCGGCACGACGTGGGCGTGTACGTGTGCCGGCATGATCTACGGGGGTTATTACAACGGCAACGAGGCACGACGCGAGTGCTCACCGGGAATACCGAGCCTCCTCTACTCTTTGGCCCCTGCCACGATATAACATCCTCCAGCCTCACCGTCGTACCCGGTCTCCACCGGGTAAATACAAGTCGCGGTCGACTGCTGCATTCCGACCGGGCGCGAGCGCGCGCGTCTTGTCTCCCTCTTGGCCGGCGCGGCTGATATATCCTTGGGGAGACGCCCGAGGTACGTCCAAGTGAGCGTGGTGACACGCGGGGGTGAACATCTCGTACGACAAGCTCGATGAGCGAATGCACCGACGAGATTTCCCCCGCCTGGTTCCTCGACCAGGGACCTCTTACAATGTTTCCCTTACCTTTTCTCGTAGCTCACGCACGGTGAAGTACGCGAATCATTACGAAGGACATTCGGTGGCGAGAGAGTCCGGCGAGCCCCCGCGCCCTACCGTTGCCCTCGTTGCCGCGTGTGTCGTATATCGCTCTCGTCATCACCGGTAATCGAAATCGCGCAAACCCGCTGGGAATATTTTTCGTTATCCGAACGTGAAGTATTATCGCGAAGGAGAATATATGGAGGGAGCCCGAGTGGAAGAGGCGCGAAAGAGGAGGGCCAAGCGAGCATTTACCCGTCCGCTCCGATCCGGTGAATGAGAAGCGGAGGGAGGAGAAGGACGAGGACAAGGAGGAAGAGGAGACAGGGAGGAAGAGAGCGAGAGAGAGAGAGAGAGAGAGAGGGCGAGACGA